TAAACTTTTAATTCCTACTAAATACTATAAATTGTGCTTATAAGTAAAGTTGTAGCTTATAATTAGAGCTACAAATCGGTATATGATACTATATGTCGATCTTTAATCGAACTCGAACCAGACTCGAACTCGTATAACAGTTCGGTTCAGTTCATAGAAACACTAGAACAGGCACAAAATGATATCCCTGAGAAATTTGTTTCTTCCAAAATAAATTCTAATAATATCCCAAGACAGATAGAAAACACATTCGATTCTGATTTATATCAACCAGAGACCAAATCATTGAAAGATAAGAAAATCGATGAACTCCTGGATTTGAAAGATAAGGAAAGGATTGGTAATATAGTAAGAGAGAGAAACAGGGGAAATAAACTTCGAGATCAAATATCTTCCTATTCTGAGGCACAAAGTGCAATTTCATCAAAATATCACATATATTCTGACCCATGATCAGAAAACTATTCAATCAGAATCTCAAATCTTTATTGAATTGGGACAAATGTCCATTGATCAAACGCAAAATATCATTTCTTCCAAAATAGCGGAGCTAGCAAGGCCAAAAATTTCCTATAATCAGAAAGTGGAACAAGGTATAATATATGAGCTATCTCTTTATGCTAAGAAAATTAGTAGTATACAAGAAATAGATGTGCAAATTCCTGAACTTTCTCTAGAAAAAATATTAACAGGATCTGATGAAATTACGGCTCAGATTATAATAGATTTGTTTAATATGGCAATGAAAACTAGACAAAAAGAAAATTTATGCTGGTATTGTTATACTAAAGCATATGAAGATCAGGTTAGGGATATTAAATCCAAGAATAAAATCGATGACCAATCAGCTAGAACGCTGATATATAATGAAATCAGATTGCTTCTTTCCAGTATTTCCGATGTAAATTTGTGTAAGAAAACTTTCAAAGCTAAAAAAGTTTATACATTGTTCGAAGAGATAGGAATAGATATGATTAGACAAATAACTTACAGTGCAAATGCTATTTCAAGCCTAACGGATATTCAAATCCAAAATATTATAAATCATTTTCGTAAAAAGACCAATACAATTAATTGCCAAGAAGTGATCAGTGTTCCGAAAAAGAACGCACACGTGGTTGAACTGACTAATTCAAATGATATATCAAATATTGAGGTAAGCATACCTACTGAATCTCAAATTTCTGATTCTTCTAGTTCTGGATCAATCCAAGAAAATGATCAAGATGAGTCAACGGCTCAAAATTCTGCTTCCTTGAAATTACCAGAAGTTGAAGTAAGTATACCTACATCTAATCACCTTGTGACTGTCTCTGACAATAAATCTCAACCTCCAATTTTGATCTTACCTGAAGACTCGAAAGAGAAACAAAATCATGTTATCAAAATGATACTGAAACAGTTTCGAAATTTGTCTTTAAAATATAGTACCAAGAATAAAGATTACTTTGACTGTTCAACGATCTGCCCTATATACAATAAAAACCATAAAAAAGAAAATATAAGAGATAATATAGAAGATGAATGGGATAGTGGTGATTATGTCAATACAAAAACTTATCGTCTCAAATGCTGGAAGGCTTATCAAAATTCAATCCAAATAGTAA